ACATCCATAACCAAGTCCACCCCCTTGAATCCGACCACCTTCCGCAATGATGCAGTAACTGTTCCAAGAATCCTCAAACACGGAAGCATCGGTGAATCCCTGGAATATGCCTGCAAGGACAATGCCGTCTTGCGCGTACGCTGGTAAGATCTGGTATCTACGGTCGCGGTGCAATCAGGCAATCTGGACAGCCATTACCCCCAAGGGCGACCACCCCGTCCATCTAAACCCGGCCCGCTTGTCACATCCAGACTCGTCGATGTATGCGATACGACATGCGATTCTCTTGGGCCAACCTATCGAGGCTACGGCACTGCCGATGCTGAAGGTTGTCATCAGGACCTCGAACTCGTCCCAGAGGAACACGGTCATCTCGTCCTGATACATGTCGGGCTTCTCGAGCAGTCGGTCGCATAGCGCGCTTAAGCATCGGGGGCGTGATTGTTCTAGGCCGCGCCCAGAGTATCTTGTTCAACCGGGATAGCCTAAGCTCACCATATGTGTAGCGCTCGTTGACCTTCTGGTTCGTTTGGGCCAGCGCCTTTGTCATGATATCAACCCAACCGTCCCACTTCAGATCTTAATCTACCAAGCCCACGTCCTGAGCAATAGAGAAGTCGCTTCGATATTGAATCAGAGCAACATAGGACTGAAGCAAGCCAAATGCAAGGCCATAGAGTTGCCGGTCCTGCATGAGATGCTCTTGCCAAAGCTCTCATTCAGGAGATAATCAGGCAGTGGTTCCAAGAATAAGCGTCCAGGGGCCTAAACAAAGTGGAGATTTATATTCTCGCAAACAATAATCTCACGGGATTTGGCTCGTTGGTCGTTGAGTAATCGGGGCGGCATCGGCAACCCAGCAAGCCGGAGCCACGCCATGGATTTTGTTGAGCTTCTCGACACTCAGATCGTCTTTGATGTGATCCGTGCTGGTTGCGACGACGACAGGCTTGCGTTTGCCATCGACTTGATATGATGATGGAAGGAATCGGAGAGTCGGTCTTTGAGTATGGGGCGCGACTCGGAGTGGGTTTGGTAATTGATGGCCAACGAGGGTCTAGCTCCCGGCAAGGGAGTGGCGGATGGTTGACAGGACGGGGACGTCGGAGATATGTCGAGCCTTGTGCCTAGGCGGACGATGGGTTATTTGGGGTCGTCATCTAGGATAGCACAACAAGTGCGTCGAGAACTATTGGCTAGACTGCGCTTTAGGTGGGTAGCGAGAAGCATTGCGGCGGCCCAACCTCGATCGGTAAAAACGATTGGCAAGAGGTTCATAGGGTTGCAGTGCGGCTAAAACCCCCTCACTTCGCGAGAACGTCGCCATGACAGATTAGAATGCGTCAAAGCAAGCATCGGCTTTTCTTCCCTGGCGACAAGCGATTGATATCCTCCAGTTGGCCATAATCTGCCATTTTACCAGAGGAGCACGAGGCACCCTACACGTAAGAAGCGGCCCGTGGACAGTCCCACGTACGCCGTCGTATCCGCTTAGGGAACCTTGGATGCGGAATTCTTGCAGAGCGATTTTCGGGCGGACCGTTCACTCGTCTGGACGGCGAAGCAATGAACTCAGTCAGGGTCGGCCAGGCCATTTTCCTCGTCGGAGGGACGATAGCATTGTACGTCTTACTGCGCAGGCTCGCGCATTCTCGGTCGGCTTCGTCCACCCCGGCGCGATACGGTTCTAGGCATGAAGGCCGCCTCTCTGACAGCCCACCACAATCTCCGCAACGAACAAAGGGCGTCACGCTCTGTCAAGTCTACCCTCCTCCCGACAGCGGTACCAAAACAGATGTTGACATTATTGCCATCCATGGTCTTGATACGAAGTCGCCGGACACGTGGTTATGGAAACCCAAAGAGGAATCCCATAAGCAGAAGGTCGTTCCATCCTTCATCTGTCCGCGGTGCAAGCAAGACATGGGCACAAAGGAGGCTCTTGAGACCCATCTGGCAGTGGACAAGGACCGAATTTGCAATTTTGAGGAGCTCCCCTTCAGCACCTCCAGCGCGAATCTAGAAGAGGGCAAAAAGGCGCCCGTCAACTGGCTCAAAGACTCGCACATGCTTCCCAGGCGGTGTCCGACGGCGCGGATCTTCACCTGCGACTGGCCGGCCGACCTACTCGAACAACCAGACTTCATCCAAAAAACAATCGAAGAGTTTGCTCGGCTCCTGCTCGCCGGCATCGAAAGTCGTCCTCCCGTACCAAATGACTCCCTTGGAAAGGACGACCGGCCGATTGTTTTCATTGCATCCTGCCTCGGAGGTATCATCTTGATGAAAGCGCTCGTGATGGCTAGCCACGAGTATCTTTCGGTGAAACGAGCAACACGTGGCATCGTCTTTCTCGCCACGCCGTTCCGGGGTACGTCATTCCAAGACGTGGCCAAGTGGGCTGAGCCGGGTCTGAGGGCCTGGGCTTCAGTTCGAGACAAGAACGTGTCCGGCAACCTGCTCAAGCAGGTGAAGTCGACTTTCGAGCTGGGAGAACTCGTGCGCAATTTCACTACTCTCTGTCGAGAAAACAATCTTATCGACCATGTGTTCGCCTTCTACGAGACTCAGACGTCAAGTCTTCTACAAAAAGTAGTTCCCTGGCTCCCTGACTCTTTGTCCCGAAAACAACTGGTACGAGTCGTGGCCTAGTTGCCTTCCCACTCCTGGCACAGTGCCTTAACCATATTCAGTGGAAACTAACGGGCCCTAGTTGGTTGATCAGCTCTCTGCAACACTGGACTTTGTTCCACATCCCCTGCCTCTTGAACGACGACATGTTCTGATGAACAAGTTTTGCGACCCTGATTGTGCAGATTATAAGAAAGTTTCTGGAAAGATCGAAGACCTTCTCAGAAAAATTCGCGAGGGAACGCCGCTTGCGCAGGCCGACATCTGGATCCGCGACAAACACTATACTGAGGATAAGCTCAAGGTAGAGCGACTATCGGGCGAGGCGATATCGATGGATCACTGCTACATCAATCTTGCCATCATAGAGCAGCCCGACAAAACATGGAACCGCCCAGAGCCAAGATCAGAGGCGGATTCAGCAACTCAGTCCTCCCCGTTTTCACGTTCCGCCAGGCTGAGGGTTGAGACACCGGACGAGAACATCCAGGTCGAGTTGCCGTCACTCTTCAATCCACGCAAAAGAGGCGATGATGTGGTGCAACCCAGGCGGATCTTGATTCGAGGACGTGCCGGCGTGGGGAAGACTACCTTATGCAAGAAGATTGTCTATGAATTCATCCGTCGCACATGGAGTCAATGGAACGAGTTGTTCGACCGCGTACTTTGGGTGCCTCTGCGGCATCTGAAGCTTGACGAAAGACGCCAGATGGCCGGATACAGCTTTCTCGACCTTTTCAGGCATGAATATTTTTCTTTGCCGAACCAGAGACCGGACCTCGCTGAGGCATTGTCGAATACATTGGACGAGACCAAGAGTCGTCGAACTCTGTTCATCCTCGACGGCCTGGACGAAATATCCCAGGACTTGAGCGACGGAAGCGACATGTTCCGCTTCCTCAAGGAGCTGTTGGATCAGCCAAACGTCATTATCATGTCCCGACCATCTGGTACATTACCAACTGGCCTACGTGGTATCGACATCGAACTGGAGACGATTGGGTTTTACCCAGACCAAATTAGCGAGTATCTCGAACGGATTGTTCCGGAAAAGGCCAACGAGATTCATTCTTTCCTTCAGGGGCATGTGCTCCTTCTGGATCTTGTGCGAATACCGGTTCAGTTGGACGCGCTATGCTTCATTTGGGATGAAAGACTCGATTCCGGCATAGAGCTGGATACCATGACCGCCATTTACCGAGCTATCGAGCATACCTTGTGGAAGAAAGATATTGTGCAATTGGAAAAAACAGATGGGGGGGAGCCCGTGACTAAATTCCTAATACATCGTTCCGATCGGCATGAGATTGAGAAACTCGCCGAGGATGAGATCTGTTTCCTGGAAGGTCTTGCCTTTACTGGACTGTATAACGATGTGATAGACTTCGAGTCGAGACACCGAAACGATATAACCACACTTCTCAAACCCCCTTTCTTACTCGACAAAATACTCCCACGCCTCTCTTTCCTCAGGACATCAGATCCCTTGTCGAAATACCACAATCGATCTTACCACTTCTTGCACTTGACCTACCAAGAATATTTTGCGGCGCGGTATTTCGTCCGGCAATGGAAACTTGAAAGCCCGGTCAAATGTCTGACTCTCAGTGGTGGTCAGATTGAGAACATGAAACCTATCAGGTTTCTTCAAAAGCACAAATACGATCCTCGCTACGATATCTTCTGGCGCTTTGTTGCTGGCTTGCTTGATGATGACGGGGAGGCACTCGGCTTCTTCCAGGCGATTGAGGCAGAACCGCGCGACCTCCTGGGTCCTACGCATCAGCGCCTGGTCATGCATTGCCTAAGCGAAATCCAGCGGAAGGAGTCGACTTTCAGGGACCTTCGAGCGAAGCTAGAAAAACAATTGGAACAGTGGCTGTTGTTCGAATGCGGCTTCACGCAAAACTCCTGGTTAACCCGTGAAATGGAGTGTCCAGAGCTGGTTCTGGCCAATGCATTGGAACGAGCGTCTGAAGATGCAAGACTGATTCTCCTGAAATCGCTGTCCACACGGACAACAGTGCCATCCAGTGTCATAGACCTCACGTCTCTCTGGCTGAATGACTGTATCTCTGGTCGCCTATGTATTGCTATCTTGCGTATCTTGAGACAACAGCAAAAGGAGTTGCCGGACACCATACTGCAAAGCATTGCAACACGGCTTGAGGATGACGACGGGTATGTCCGAGAGGCAGCAATCAAGGCGCTTCAAGGCCGGGCCGA